AAGAAGAAGAAGAAGAAGAAGAAGAAGAAGAAGAAGAAGAAGAAGAAAAGAAGAAGAAGAAGAAGGAGAAGAAGAATGAGAAGAAAAAGAATAATGAGGAGAAGGAGAAGAATGAGAAGAAGAAGAATGAGAAGAATGAGAAGAAGAAAAAGAAGAAGAAGAAGAAGAAGAAGAAGAAGAAGAAGAAGAAGGAGAAGAAGGCTGCTGTTTCCACAAAGCATCCCTTGCCCTTTACTGATCTTATATACTGCTCTCTCTCTCTCTGTCTCCCTTCCTTCTTCTTCCTCCCTCCCCCTCTGTCTCTGTCTATCAGAAAATATTCTAATATTCTGAAATTTGAAAGGTGCATTACTTTTGTTTGTTTTGCTGGTTTCTGTCATTTGTGTTCTTTCTTACATCACTTACAGTGCCACAGAATTCAATCTTTTCACAGGTGATGTGTAGTAATAGCAAAATTCTAACGCAGAATACTAGTATACTTCTAGTATACTTGGGGAAACTGGAACACTGTGAAATGAAGTAAGTCTACAATTCAATATTGGGCCAGCAAGATGATGTCGCATGTGAAGCCTGACAACTGAACTTCCATCCTCAGGACTCACAATTGAAACAACTGAATCCCAAAAGTTGTCTTCTGGCTTCCACACACATGTGAAAGTGCACGCACACACACACACACACACACACACACACACACACACACTTCAACCTATTATACATTTCTATAACCAATCACACTTTGCTACCTATACCCCTGTATGTAATGATGGGCAACAAAGGAGGAGAAGTATCTTAATATGAATTTTCCTTCAATTCAAACAATATGGCCTTATTTGGCAAGCAAGCTAATATGAGTTATCAAAAATATATTTAACATTGCAAATGTAATATTAATTCATATAATCCTGCAAGAATATTGATAACAACCTCTTAGCCAGTTCCGTATCTTATGAGAAAGAATCAGTGCACTAGACATAAAGCAAATACAATATACAAGAATGCTAATTGATTTATTGTTCATAGAAGTAGGGAACTGAGAAAAAACTATGTCCATCAGCAGGAAGGAATTAAGTTATGATTCATACACATTGTGGAATCACAGGCAACCTTTTACAAGAGCAAATTGAAGCTGGATCTTATAGTTTAGAACTTTTTCTCTTGGGTTTTCCTGGGTGAAAAAAAAAAAAAAAGGAGAAACCAGAAAGAAATTTTAGGAATTCCTCTTTTGGTAATAAAAAAAAGCAACACCAATAGGAGTTCTTTGTGTGCGTGTATGTTAAAGATTATAAGGAAGTGGGAACTAGGCTGAGATATAGATTATCAATGCTCTGGTGGAGGGAGAAGCATGAAAGTCAGGCATGAAAGGCAAAGGAATGAAAGTGGTCCACAGACAGAGATGCATGCATTGGTGCATCAAAGTGAAATAGTATTCATGCAGATTTGTGCAATCCAGAGAAACATATGATATAATAAAAAAGATTAAAAAAAAAGATTCAGGAGAAATTCTCCCCAAAACATCCTTGTGAAGGTACACTCCTAGGTTTGTGCAAAAGTTAGTATGAGGGGTAGGAGCTAACTCAGTGGATATGAATGTTTCTTCTGTAAGTATGAGGACCCGAGTTCAAATCTCTAATGTACACTAAACAAACAAAAACAGGCTTGCATGGCTGGGTATGCTTGTTATTGGAGCCTTTAAGGTTGGGGAATAGAGACAGGCAGATACCAGGAGCTCTGTGGCCAGTAAGCCTAGCTGAAACACAGTTTACATACAGTTCTATATGTGGGCCCATGAGTTAACACACCCTCAGACACAAATGCACGCATCCTACACACCACACACACACACACACACACACACACACACACACACACACACACACACCACAACATACACTCTCAGAGTATTCATTACTATTCCTAAGAGTGTTTAGGCTTCAGAATTCACAATAGGCACCTTGGGAACCGCCTTTGAACGGTTAGGGTTAGCCCTGAGCGCAGGCTAGTGCAGC